AAAAAAAAAAAAAAAAAAAAAGAAGCTTTACCTTACTAACGCCCTTTTCGGCCTTAGCCTACCTGCACCCAGGTGAAAAAAATTAAAAAGTAAAAGAAGCTCTACCTGTGGCCGAGTGCAGTGGCTCACGCCTGTAATCTCAACACTTTGGGAGGCTGAGGCTGGTGGATCAACTGAGGTCAGGGGTTCGAGACCAGCCTGGCAAACATGGTGAAACCCTGTCTCTACTAAAAATGCAAAAGTAGCCGAGCAAGGTGGCGATCGCCTGTAATCCTAGCTACTAAGGAAGCTGAGTCTAGAGAATCCCTTAAAACCTGGGAGGCAGAGGTTGCAGTGAGCCGAGATCACGCCCCTGCACTCCAGCCTGGGCAACAGAGCAAGACTCTGTCTCAGAAAAAAGCTTTACCTCTCTGTTAATAAATATAATAAATCCTTCTCATCCTAAATCAAGTCAAGCTTTGCCTTTAATCAGGTGTTAAAAGGAAATCACCTAAAATCAAAAAAGAGGAGGAGAGCATTTTTGTTAAGCATTTCCTATTTTGCATTTGCAATTTTAGTTAATGACAATCCCCATTTTATAAAAATTGAGGCACAGATTAATTTACTCAGTATCACAAAACTGCTAAGTATACTATCTTCTATTCTACTCAAATGTAACTCCAAAAACCCAAGTTATTTTTGCTATGGCTCTATGCAGACTTTTACATAAACAGAAAATGCTGCCTATCATTTTATTTTGAATTCTCAAGCTAGCCACCAAAAGCCTGATGTGGGGATATCACTGTCATCTCTAGAAAAAACACGTCACTCTGAAGAGGTCATCATTTTTGCATTCTGATAATAATTGAAACTTCGGCCGGGCGTAGTGGCTCACCTCTGTAATCCCAGCACTTTAGGAGGCCAAGGCAGGCAGATTACCTGAGGTTAGGAGTTTGAGACCAGCCGGACCAACATGTAGAAACCCTGTCTCTACTAAAAGAAGAAAAAAAAAAAAGTTACCTGAGCATGGTGCTGCATGCCTGTAATCCCAGCTACTTAGGAGGCTGAGGCAGGAGAATCACTTCAACCTGAGAGGCCGAGGTTGGAGTGAGATCACGCCATTGCACTCCAGCCTTGGCAACAAAAACAAAATTCTGTCTCTAAATAAATAAATAAATAAAAATCATTCAAACTTCGTGATTTTCTGAAAATACATTCTCAAAATGAATCTTTGAGAAAAGTCTCAAAAATGTTCATTTTTTTTTTTGCCTGCTCCAATTGACAGAACTGTTCTATATGGGGAAAAAAGAGAATTAAACTATTTAGTTTTTATTTAGATCTACATGATACTATTCTACTTAAAATCTGGCTAGTGGCAGCTTCACGGAAGAAAGCAAAGGCCAGGGAAAGAGATTACAATAACAGAGCAGAACAAATCCTGAGTTTAAGGAAAAGGAAAAGATATCATAATGAGGCCAACCAGTACTAACAACGGCCTCTGCCCCCTGACCTCAGAGAACTGGGAGTGTGCTAGTCCATGAGGAAATCTCGCGTTGATCTTTTAGAAGCCGCTATTTAACTAATTTAGCCTCGTTTAAGCTGCCTTTTTTTGTTTTTTGAGGTGGAATTTTGCTCTTGTTGCCCAGGCTGAAGTGCAGTGGTTCGATCCGCCTCCCATGTTCAAGCAGTTCTCCTACCTCAGCCTCCCAAGTAGCTGGGATTACAGGCACACCACCAAGCCTGGCTAATTTTTGTGTTTTTAGTAGAGACAGGGTTTCTTTTTTGTTTTGTTTTGTTTTGTTTTGTTTTGGGACGGAGTCTCGCTCTTGTTACCCAGGCTGGAGTGCAATGGTGCAATCTCGGCTCACCGCAACCTCCGCCTCCTGGGTTCAGGCAATTCTCCTGCCTCAGCCTCCTAAGTAGCTGGGATTACAGGCACACGCCACCATGCCCAGCTAATGTTTTGTATTTTTAGTAGAGACGGGGTCAACCGTGTTGACCAGGATGGTCTCGATCTCTTGACCTCGTGATCCACCCGCCTCGGCCTCCCAAAGTGCTGGGATTACAGGCTTGAGCCACCGCACCCGGCCGAGACAGGGTTTCTTCATGTTGGTCAGGATGCTCTCAAACTCCCAACCTCAGGTGATCCGCCGGCCTTGGCCTCCCAAAGTGCTGGGATTGCAGGTATGAGCCACTAAGCTACTTTTTTAAAAATACCCACCTTGGGCCAGGCGGGATGGGTCACGCCTGTAATCTTAGCACTTTGGGAGGCTCGGGCGGGCGGATCACAAAGTCAGGAGTTCAAGGCCAGCCCAACTAACATGAGGAAACCCCATCTCTACTAAAAATAGAAAAATTAGTTGGGCATGGTGGCTCGCACCTGTAATTCCAGCTACTCAGGAGGCTGAGGCAGGAGAATCACTGGAACTCGGAAGGCAGAGATTGCAGTGAGCCAAGATTGCACCATTGCACTCCAGCCTGCACGACAGAGTGAGACTACGTCTCAAAAAAAAAAACCTACTTCTTTATCTCTCTGGTGTGGTGGAAATTTTTTCAGCGTTTCCTCTGCTTACCAGTTTCCAAAAGTAAATGTGTTGAGATGTGTCCCTTCAATATGAAATATAAGTATTGAGGGTACATTTAAACAAATTTAAATGTGAAACATAATAGCACTTATTACCAAATCATATTGGAATTTCTTGTGGAACTGTAAGATGAAA